TCGTTAAGTAAAGAAAAAAAAAAAGAAACACGTAAAATTGCAGATGGTGCTACGATACGATGGCGAGAAATTTCGAAAAATTAAGATATTGCGCGACAAGGATTTTAATTTTCGAAAATTTCAACGTCCTCGCGTCACGGCCCACTAAACTAACGAATATGGGAAACTTAAGTACGTGAAAGAAAAAAAAAAAAAAAGGAAAAAAAGATATTGCACATCCGAAGCACATCCGAATAAATATACAATAATGCGAAGAATTTAAAATAATTATAAAGTTAATGACGTTAGGTAAAATAAAAAATACCCGCGTTGCGCGTAAGATCAATTTTGGTATGGGCGTTAAAACTGTTGAAAAAAAAAAATAATTAAGCGAAATGCTATACTCGTCGATGCTGACTACGTAGGTAATTTCTTGAATTTGTCAATACAGCTGAATGCTACTTGGGTATCGATCGATTTTCGTAAAAGCGATCGCACGCGATCTTGGCTTTTCTCAAATTTGAAAAACAAAACATTGTTGTAAGGATTGATCTTGCGCTCAATGCCAGTCATCTGTACACTCTTTATAATTTGTATTCGAAGTTTACACAAATTTTATCCAACAAATTTACTGTATTCTTTACGAAAACTTTTATTCTACAACCTGTACACAAGAGTACCCGACGCTGGCGTCGCGGGCGTCCCGCCACGACGGCGTCGGATAAGAAATCATTGATAAAGTATATATTTTGCGCTAGACTCGTTTCATCCTCACGCGGTTGACAGCAATTGTTTCTAGGTGAAATTTGTCAGAGTCATTTTAGAAAAAAAAAGATTAACATGTTCAACTTTTTATTTTATAACGTTACAAAAAATATAACACGAATACTAAGTAAAACACTAAGTATATAAAATAATACGTTTCCTTTAACTGTTACGTTATTCGATGGTCAAGAAAAGTCAAAATTAACGTTATCCTTTTTTGCGTTTCCACCACAATCAGTGAAAAATCAAAAAATTAATTAAATTTCTTTATACCGATTATTGATAAAGCCATATAATAATCTGACAGAAAACTCCCAGAAACTTCTTCTGTCGTAAATCAGTAAGTCATGATATTAAGATGATTTGTTCCAAAAGATATTCTCCCATAATCAACTATTACGGTAATGGCTTGATTTCAAAATGTAACAAAAACATCTAAATAGCGTATGTAATTTACGATCGAAGCAAGGAACAAAAATAGCTTTTCCCCAACCTCACTCGTTAACTCGACGTACAACAAACGATTGCTGGAATGCCAAAAGAAAAATTAGACAAAAGTTGAAAAACTTGGAATTGAATACGAGGAAAACAAAAATTCTTAATCTCATGACGTACCGTTGTAAAGTACATAACAATTGTATTATTATTGAACGTTCGAACAATTAACACGGGAAATTATGATAATCACTTTTGTATTTTTACGTAAAATTTACGTGACCTATATAAATAATCTGTAAGATTTTAAATGAGAAAAACTGATAAAATAATAAAAAATATTACTGCGTAATTTTTCATACGAGTTTAGAGACTTAAAGATAAATTAACGTTACCTAAATATAATGCTAGAATGAGTGGCCTGTTGATGGTAACGCGCAATTTGTACGTGACGTATGTACATCAGAATCGGTGAGGTGTGAATTTATGATAACGCAAATAAAGAGAGAGTGTGTGTGAGAAAGAGAGAGAGAGAGAGAGAGAGAGAGAGAGAAATTAAAAAAGAAATAATAAAAAAGTTTAATGTAAAACAACGGTAAAAAGATCATACGCAAAATACAAGAAAAATATGACTCCTCTCCCGTGCCATGCATTTGACTCTACAGCGTGATTCAATCGGGAATTAAAAGATCGTTTTTATAAAAAAAAAAGAAAAACACTTCTTACGTCACTGCTGTTAAATTGAACGAATGGAATATCAATGTATTCGAGTTATATCGCTAGAAAAAAAAAAGAAAAAGAAATCGTCGACTAACGATCAAACCGAAAACACAATGCTGATTAGAGGATCATTATTATTGGTATTATTTTTTAAACGGTACCACCTACCATTTGTATATACATAAGACGAGATATGTTAAATGTATTTATTAATGTTAAATAGTGTAACAAGATATTATAGGCTGACATAGAATAGCAATTACAATGTTTTGTTCAAACCGAACACTGCTACTACACATTATAAATACGAATTTTTCAATAATTTCCAAGATTGTACGTACGAAGCAATATTTTGTTTTTCCGTAAAAATCCTTGCCTCCATTTTTCTTTACTAAAATTTCGTGTTGCAGTTCTTCTTATTCAACGTACCACGAGTCATTTAAATATACAGACTCCGGGGATTGCAATTTTGATAAGATGTAAATACCGCCTTTTTGTATTGTAAATAAGCAGCGACAATTTCATTTGTAAATTACGAAAATAATGTATCCTACGTACATTCCTGGCTCTCTTTTGCCACCAAGCGAGGCGCTTTCGCATGATAAACCTTAACTCACCTATCATAATGTTCGTTCCAAATCTTAAACACACTGTCTATCATAGAAAGCCTAGCTGTAGCAATCCAGCAAGAAATTCCTCAAGATTTGCGTGAAAAATTTGAAAAAATTCTATTCTTTGCTTGAGCAATCGCACAAAATAATAATAAAATCAAAATGGCATTTAGCGATAGAGCCAAAAAGTAGAACAGTTGGATCAATAATTTTCTTACGTAGAAAGAAAAAAAAATGTTAACTGTAACCTTGTGCAAAACCCTTGGATCCACGTACAAGCCAGTATAAGCGAATGGAGAAATCTTCCAAAAAAAAAAAAAAAAAGAAAAAGAAAAGAGGTCAAAAAATGAAATAAGATAACGCAAAGAGAAGAATAGAAAAAAGACACGCAAAGCTCGAGGAACGCTGGAGATTAATCGTTGTAGATTCTACGAAACTAAAGTCTCTGTATCCAACTCTTTCTCTAGTCTCTAGCGTATTATACCTTTGAGAAAATTTGTAGCGTCTCTTTGAAAATTAATCGAACGTACGATCCAACAACTGAATTGACTAACCGTTCAGTTAAATCCGAAAGGTTCGTTTCTATCGAGGTGTTTACGATAATGCTGCATCTAGGTACTATAGTAGGGCCTAAGTATCACCTTAAACCTAACCTAACTCTCGCCGGAGTGCACATCTTTATCTTTAAAAAATAAACTAACAATTAATAAAAGAATCCGTGTACGATCCATACTGACATATATAGATCTGCGCAGATTTATTATCTCTAAGGGCGAATCGATCGAGCGTTTTGTATTTTCACGTTCGATGAAAATCCTCCTGAATGGGCGATACGTCAAAGTCCGGATTTTCTAAGGAAACTAACAGTAAGAAAAAGTGGCGTCGCACCCACCAGAATCTACACGCCAAAAAGATTAAGACGCCATAGACGGTTAACCCTATGGAGTTTGAGGTTAGAATACGAGACTGATATGAAAATAAACGAAACGCTCAATCGAATTGCGCGATGCAGTCACAAGCACGAAATGTTCCTTCATTTTTCATTTCATTGTTTTTTTACCGCATACTCGATCCTTTTGTACTCGAATCCAGTAATTTGTGCATTGAACTCGTTTATGTCGAAATACTTATAAACAATATGCCGGACAAGTAATTCGATTGTGAGCGCACAGCAAATCACGCGTATGTCGTTATTCTGCTCAATTACTAAACAAGCAAAGTATTGCTTGAGTCCCTTGGTAAAAGGCAACAAAGACAAACACGCGTACAATCGCGTTGTGGCGATGACGCTTGTTTCCTTTCTTAGTTCGACAAATGGACTATTATCAGCCTCGCTCAAACTTTTCACTATTAATTTTAAACGATCATTGTTAAGAGTGCAAATGTTATTGATCCCCTTCAGTTGGGAACAATTGCAGTTTCGACATACAGACTCTCCATCGGCTCACTTTCCTTCAAATTTTCAAACTATCGTCTTATCGAGTATTCATCACGATAAAATCGTATCCCGCCCAAGAGTCTATAGCGATTGACTGTTTTATACGTGGAAATTATTTTATTCCTGAAATATACATAACAAGAAAAATAAAGACACGCCTTTTTATTGCACGGCCAAGATAATCGACGATATAATACGATAAGAGAGTCTCAAAGTACATTTCAATGAATTTCATGAAAATTATTAATATTCGATAACACCCGCGAGGACGAAAATATCAGAAAATTCTGTAGACACGCATAACTTTACGTCCCGAGAAGATTCATTTGGTCGTGCAATTACATCGAACGGTAATTACACATACGAGTGATATTACGGTGACCAATTCGCTGATATTGACACGAAAAACACATGGCGTATCAAACACGAAAACTTTCGCATACGAATAACCTCGTGTGTGAATTTACGCGAATTCCATGAAAATATAAGCGCACCATGACGCGCCAGATGTTTGCAAATGAAACGATATTACAGCTAATTGCTAACAGTAAGGAAGTACCGATTGTAACAAGGGAATCTGATAGGCTTAATATAAACAATGTAATTCCCATGTAATTACGCATATGAAATACAGAAACATATTAATAATATTACCGGTTAATAATAAAAAAAAAATCAAAGTGTATATTCGTAACAATTCATTTATTCTAACCCATCGTTTCCCATTGTCATTAAGAATTTTCATTGTCGTCCCCTTCGTGGATTATTCAAATTTCTACTATAACTCTTTCTATTTTCTCTTTATTTTCCTTCTCGTCCCCTTATACTCTCTTGGATGTTTCCTCTTTCTCTTTTCACGATAGTCGACATCTTCGCGACACGTGCAGACATATTGCGTTGTCGACTTGGTTATTTTGAGAACGACCAAGCGAGATCCCGAGATCAAAATATTGGCAAATGACTTTGTGCCCGGAGGTCCGTCCTATTCTTGTTACGGAGTAATTATCCTCGGAGTACCTGCCGCCGTGACGCCCACGGGGTTTATTTCAAGAACCACCACAGTCGTCGGATGGACGTTGGATCGACGCCTAATGGAATCTCAAAGATGCACTCATTTACGCGAGAGAACTTTATTGAATAAACAAGAGCTACTTCAAACTTTATTAGTTCATTTTATTCGTTTGCCAGCGGCAGTTATTCGTCCGAAGGCGAATACTGCAACGTTGTTACTACTCTGAGTAGAAGGTACCGCTCTCTGCACAAAGATGGCAGCACTGTAGCTTTTAATACACGTATGTATATATGTATATATATATTTCAAAAAATCTTCAAATAAACTAAATCGATGTCGTTACTGCACAACGCATTGGACTATCATTTAATTTAATTGAATATGACATTATTAAAATAGCAATTTTTCTTATACGGCAGTCGATAAGTCTTGACGGTCGACATGAAAGTTCGCCGAGTACTCACTCTAGTTACTGGCTATCGCTGACTCCAGCATAGGATTCAGGACTGGGTCAATATAGGTTGATTGATGAAATTAGTCCTGTACGTTTGCTACAGTTTAGACATTTTTCTCTACAGATGTCGCAGTTGGTCTTACATTGCACACTTGGTAATGAAACAGAATCATTGCCCTTGTTCAGCCGCTGACAACCGGTAAACAGTGGATTCTTAACTATTCCACCTAAGGAGGTAAACTGGTTCAGTAGCCACAAGCTAACTTTCGAAATGTTTAAAATTCCATTCACCCGATACAGAAGCAAGTACGTATGTATAAACCAACCTTATTGATCAATAAGTATCTCTCGTGTGTGACAATTGCTTATCAAAACGACCTAACCACAAGTAACAACATTCGTCACCGTGCAATTCAAAGTTAAAGCATCCTTTATGGGTACGATACGTTTATACCTAAAGCCCTCATGAAAGCCATTAAGCGATACGTTCGTTGAAAAAATGTGACACGTTTATCGTCAGTAAGCAAATGGCGATAGCGTAATCAAGGTATAATCCAAATGGGATAAAGTACTTTAGACTAACAGAACATTTTTTAAGAATGTAAAAATCTAAATTTCCACATCGATCCAAACATGTTCAATCGTTTTAATATTTCGCATGTTACTCAAAGTCTACTTCTGCATTATTTTATCGTATCAGCCACTAATCTACCGACTACTGATAAATAACTTGTATATTTCTATTCATTTATAGATTAAACATGAGACGCAACAACGGTGTACACGTCGTACGTTGATTTCTCGACAAGCTCCTTCACCACTAGTCCTCTCCAAGCTTCTAAATGCCATATGAGCAGAGTTTTCGGACAGAAACCCATTATATTTTGCGACGTTGAAATTTTAACTGTTTCTGCTTATTGATCTGACGCTAACGCAAGCTGAACAAGGCACGTTGAAGACCGTAGAAATGAATAAGGGTTCCACACAAACATCCAATTGTTTACCTAGGCATTACGGAGAAAGGTTAGGTCTCATATTCATCGCTACGATACATCGAAAGCACGTGCGACATACAGATCCAGAGTGTTATTATTATTATACACAAAGAAAAAGGACAAAGATGCGCACGTGGGGACACTATCGAACAAAACTTATTAATCCACCTTAAATGTTGACTTATTGTTATTTATAACCAATGTCAGTGGTCAAGGTCAAGCGAATCGTAAGCCAGCATGAAAAATCTTTCGTGATAATTTACCGTTAGTCAAATTTATTCTTATCAATCTCTAATCGATATCTACAATCGCACCGTCAAAAGTTACAATCGAAATATAGAATTTTTCATTAAACTGATTAAACGTCAGCAATTTCATTCGCATGACATAATACTTATGGAACGGTGTCATCATGCTCGTCTGGTATTGTACTTGTTGAGTAAGTGCTTGAAACTATCGTGCAAATAAGAAACGAGTTATTTTCTACTGTACAAGGATCTACGTAACAGATTCGCAAGATGCCAAAATTATTAATAGATAACTTTCGTCTTTCGATTTATTCATTTTATTTATAACTGTACTTAGAATTAGACAGGATTGTGTTTATAAATGTTTGGAAAACAAAAAGTTAAATAGACAAAATTATTTCTAAGTCCAAATGTGATTTTTTTTCAAGTTCAATTATTATGCGTAATGAAATATCGTTAGGATTGTTCGGGGCCGATTCTCATGTCGCAAACAAATCATCGAAGAGATCGATGCACTGTCTTGCCGCATAATAACGATATCAGTGTCCTCGTCGATCCTAGACGAGAATGCTGTAGACACGAGACATTAGCATAAGCATTAAATATAAGACAAAAGTTCGCAACGCCTTGTCATTTGTAAATCCAAGCATCGCATCGTATCTTATACGTATGTACAACGCGTACAAAAGAATCCTTTCACTTAATTGTTAGCAATTTAATGCCGCATGCTTAGCGTGGGCTGACGCGTTAAATCGTTAATCTCATATATCAATCGCTGGCTTATTACAAACGCTAATTTATGGATAAAAATGGATTCGGTTAGGTGATTACGGTTGGACATGACTTTTTTTCGGTTCTCCGAGCCCTTCGAGCGTTATGTTTGCATTTCAAAATTCCCGCCAATCAATTTTTCCTATCGCGTTCGGTCGATCGTTCGAAAACAATAGGAAACTTTCACAATTCATTTCTCAATGTCGAATCCCATTAACAAATTTATAATCGACATAGGAAAATTCCATAGATCCATAAACCCAATACTTATTTGAATACATCGGATACCTCGATAAAGTGGTTCGCGCTGTATTAAATTCTTCCGGAAGAATTTACTGTAAAGATTATTACGATGTCGCTGACTCTAATTCCGTCGATTTCAAATAGACATAGGTAGAGAGAACGAACGGATCGGGCAGCAGAGCGTTAAGAAGTCAGAGGGTAAAAAAATAGCGATGACCGAAGCGAGAGGAGACGGCAAATAAGAAAAAAAAACCAATCGTCTAATTCGGTGCTAGTTCAATAAATCAATCTCGGCACGAACTCGTCGAAAAATTTATCACCCTGCGAAGTAAATATTTACCGATTCAGTTGAACGTTGTTCGAATAGTCGAAAATCCGCAATTCGAATGCGTTTCGCGACCGTACAAACCTGACGGTACCGCGTGGTCACGAAATTCGAATGCAGAGTATTCGGGGTAGGAGACGAAAAGAAAAAAGGAAAAGTTAAAAGAAGATAAAGAAAAGAGATAAAAGAATCTCCGATAACCACAGAAACGCAATACTAGCCGCAAAAGGGAAAAATAAACAGAAGACGAAATACGTAACGATCTCAGTGGGATGAAATTGCGAGAACAGCATCCACCCCTTCTTATCGTATACTGCTTGTTCCTCTCTCATTCTCACTCACTCTCTTGCAGACGTCTCCAACTCTCTCACTCCGTTCTGACATTCTCAAGCCCTTATTCGCTTTCTATCCAGATGCTATTTCTCTCTCTCTCTCTCTCTCTCTCTCTCTCTCTCTCTCTCTCTCTCTCTCTGAACCTTTTCACTTCGCCCCCTCTTATCCTTTACTCGGTCGCTTTCACCCTCAATCTCTGTCCTCGAACGTCAGCTTGTCTCCCCAATAATCCAAGGACCGTTAGGGGTAAGAAAGGAAATCGTCTTGTCATTATTCTTTCTCTCTCGCTCTCTCGTCCGTTCACTCTGAATGTCACTCTCTCTCTCTCTCTCTCTCTCTCTCTCTTCTCTCTTACCATGCCCTATCTATACGCATCTGTCTATATGTTATATCGATTAATGCGACAACGCTACGCCAGGTATGCGCGTTCTATTTATTATACGAGCGTCAGTCGAATATGTTGCTGGCGCGAAGGACAAAGTGGAAAAGATGGTTATTTGCGTTGCAAGCACGTTAAATAAAAAAAATCCGATACTTTGAACCGCCTAAGAAAATCAGCCAAACACAGAATACCAGCAGCTGTCTCGAGATGAGAATTTCTCAAAAGCCAAAAAGCATCCGAACGGCTATAGCCGATGAATTAACGTAAAATAAAGATGATTAATATAAAATAATTATTACATAAAAAAAGTACGAAAACTCAGTCACGCTCGGCGTATCAATTTACTTAACGATTTGCCAGTGATCCGCGCGGGCCTGCGAGTCAGTCCTACTTATATTTAGTCACAATCATAATTCACGACTGCTTTAGCTTCTCGGCCCACAGCATTTCTATAGTCACGTTATATTCGACAGGAGTTTCCAGAGAGAACCAGGCCATTGACAGAGTACGGAAACGATACATAATTGGCAAAGTTAATAAGTTATGGCAATGTCACTCCCGCTGACTCCTCATTCGGCAACCTTGCGAATGACCTTATGTAGGCAGCACCAGTCGGACGGCTCATTACGCAGGTAGATAGAGACCTCTTTCGATAGATTGGCATTTTTACGTGGGACGTACAACCCAACTAAAAACTATTCCGATTATTCAATAGCCCTTCTCTTCGTCACACCTTTTTACCTTAGGATTGTCTAGCTACAGAAATTTCATTTGTCCTCGAATCACACTCCTTGCCGTCGGATGGCAAAGAGCTGGCAAAACCTGTCACCCGTCATTTACCTTTTTCACGCGTATTCTATTAACAGCCCAAGTCACGACGAACATAGTCATAGATACCACTGATAAGATATCGCCCCAAGTGGAAATCCTCGAACCCTCTTATCGGCCTGCCAAATTCTTTTTTGTTGTTGTTGTTGTATGTACGAATCGATTTTACGCCCTGAAATTTCTCCCTTAAACTTTACGTCAAAATAGCCGGCATCCTGATCGACCGCGCGAAATTCCACTCGAGGGTCCAACAACGTGTTTCTATCGAAGGAATCTAGAGAAATTGATATCTGACCGAATAGCACGGCTGCCTCGATGTGCCCTGTGAGATTGCGGTCGTCCCGAGAGTGTCTTCAGGGTTTCGCCGTGAGGTGGTTGAGAAATAAATGATCTGAAAAGAGAGATAAAAAATTCCGCCAAATCTCACGCGACGAGGTGTTACTTTTTTTTAAAGATTTTATACAGTCCCATCGATATAGCTATATGAAAGACGAATAGATAACGTGACAAAGAAATTGGCATATCTTTTATTCTACGATATTTGTTCGCGTGCGTAAATTTATCAATTTTATCGCAGTTACGTAAGTCCTTCAGTCTGAAGTGCATATCTGGGAAAATTAAGCTACGGTATCGTTCGCGGTCATATTTATGCCAGGCTACGCGAAAATATATACTGTTAACGCATCGTGTATTTTGCTGCCATTACTAATGAGATTTCTGGGCCAAATAGTAAACATAGCACATAACGCGCTCTGCCGTAACTACGTATCAAATACGGACTTACGTAAGTACCCAGCTACCGTATACCGCACCGATTACAGTACAAAACTTCAGGCGTCGAGTTTACGTAATATCGTACGAAGCTTATCGTTGACAAAGACGACAACAGATGTACGCATGAGCCAAGATGCTTTTCGTACGATCCTCTGTTCCTTTATTCCTTTGCTCAATACATTTTGCTCGCACGCGATCAGCAGGTCTTTCTTAGCCGTGACGAAAGTCGCACGACGACAACAAATTATTGGCAGACAGCGGCCCATCGTTTTTCGCGTACGAGTGCGTCTGTACGATTTCATCGCGGGGAATAAACAAAAATGCGCGTCATTCCGCAAATGGGCTATGATGATTTTGAAGGCTTCGACAGTGACGAAGAATCAACAGACGTTATTTATATCGAATCTATTAATTCATCCTGTACAAATTTATGGTATTTCTCAAAGGTTTCGTTATGCCATTTCACAGCATCCGCAACGTTTATAGAGAAAGCTCTGATATTCGTATGTATCTTATTCAGTTTGCTGATTCTAATTAGGAATACAGCTACTTCGTGTCCAAATGCCCTACGATAAAAGCTGCAAGGTAGTATTCTGTATGTACAATATATATTTATACATATACAGTCTACCTATATAGAGATATACGTTATCGTCACTTCTAATTTTAGCACAAAGGGTGCGGTTGCTCCTGTATGCGAAGGGATACACTTTACATATCCACGTGGTACGTGTATACGGAACATACCGCGGTCAAGATAACCTTTGTGGCCGCCCACTTTGCTCTGTGGATATTTCTTGCTCAACGAAATATTTTATGCGGTGCGTTCTCTGACTTTGTAAGATTTTGCATTTTTCTTTGAATTATGGGAAAGGGAGGGGTAACCGTACTGATCCTTGAAGACTGAAGCATGGAGTTCTTTTTTATTCAATACGTAAATTGGGGAATATTTAAGGGAATGAGATGGTCTGGATTTCATTGGTTCCAAGAGACATTACTACACCTTACAGAGAGTGATCCAGGGAATCTCCGGATGCTGATGGTGGGTAGATAAAAATATACTGAAGTATCCGAGGGGATGACAACCTCATCGAAGGTTAAAAGTGAATTGAGATTAATGGAGCTTACAACAATAAATTTGAATAAATCTACCAATTGGAACAGACTGGGTCAGAATTTTGAACTCTTTGTGAAGGTGGTTTTTGTAAGGGATCTCTTGGATGTCTTTTCAAGCGATGAAGTAGCTCGATAAACCTTACAGAATTATTCGATCCAGATCCTGTCAGGGTCCAGATACAGATAACACGATAGATCATGAGAGTCAAATTTTGCATGACATGGGTTGACTCGACTCTGCAATCACTGAGGCTGAACTCCTGATAAGAAGGTTTCTCACAAGTGATGTTGCTCGAGAATGCAAAAGGACTCAGCTCTCGTCAAAGTTCGATGGCGGAATGATTTAAGACTTGGATAGGGATTGAAAGAGAGAGAATGCTATTAAGTATTATTAAGCTATAGTCAAGTTTTGACATGACGTGGATTCACACTGTTATGCAATCCTTCAAATTAACAACCGATAGAAAAGTGATTCTTGGGACTGTTTCGTAGGTGGTTAATGGCGATGAAATTATCTAAGCCCTGTAATACGTAGATGCATTGAATTTATTTACTGCGTTTAGCAAGGATTTACTTACTCGAAGATTCGATCGCGAAGATGGTCGACGATCTACTGAATTACTGCATAGTCTGATTTTA